AAGCTCTGATATGGGCCATGGCGGAATAGATGGGATGGGAGGGTGCGACGTCTTGGAGTGGTTATTTGACAGTTTTACTCGCCGGCACGGGAGGGATAGGATGTGGCTCACTGGCTCCAGCTCCCTACTCATGATTCCCGAGAAGAGAAGTCCTTTTTTATCAGCCACTTTAACTGCTAATTATGAAGAGTACGAAGAGAAGAGGAAAGGAAAATGTACGGATAGTCATTACTTATTCTCTTCCACCAAATAGATCGATATATATATAGCCAGTTGTAGCCCATGAATCAGGTCGTACGAAGTACAGTACACTACCTCATACTGGCAGCCAATGAAAGGCTTCATCTGGGACTCTGGAGCCTGCAGACCGACCAATACGACTCGAGGCGGTTAAGATGAAAACGGTATGGTGCGTATCCCAGCTGCCGAAACGGGTACTGTACAACAGTGATTACTGGTCAGTAAGGTACCTAAGGTACCTACGGAGTACGTTGTACTTCGTACCTTACACAATACGCAGGCGTTAGCGCTCACGGTACGGGCATTCGGGTGAGGTAGTACTTTCCCTAAGGTATTTTTATCTTCAGGACACCCGGCCTTAACTTCCAGGTTCCCCTGACTTAAGAGTCTTCGGCGTCTCGTCTCACCTGCCTTCTCTTTATCCTCACCACGTCCGCCCCCAGCAGAGAGCTGCCGTAAAACCTATGCTCATCAGACCAGCGGGGGGTTGTGCCATAAGATAATCTCCTGGACCTTCATCCTTCTCCAGCCAAGGGCTCGAAAGGATACCATGGGCTGGCCATACCAATTCCTGACCCTCACTCCCGAGGAGGTCCAACTTCGTCGGGAGTCCCTGGACCATTATGCATTTTGGGCACATTTATTGGGCTACATGCCCATTCTTGCATCGGTCACCTTCCGTGTCGGCAAACAGCTTCTCACTCCTCGCGGCGGCGGGGGGAGGGGTGCGTACGAACCCCTCCCGCACTCGCCGGTGATGACGAGTCAACGACGAAGTGTAACGGGGAGCTGGCAGACAAAGGTACGGATACTGCAATGGTGGCTAGACGATGATGTCTACCTTGCAGGCGAGCATGTGGGGACGAAGCAGCAGTGGGTTCTCGGCATCTTCTGGTTTCTCTGGTTGCTTGCATTCTGCATCATGGGCACAGGCAATGGTGAGTGGTCTGGAAACCAAACAACGGCATGAGCTTCATCTGTGTTGATGAGCTTCATGAGTTAGTTCCCTTCCACAGCGTGAACCGCTGAACTAACATATTCGGATCCAGACTATCTTCATTTCACGAAGCGCTTGGGCATCATCGCCGTCTCCCAGTTCCCCCTTCAGTACCTCCTCGCCCTCAAGTCGTTCAATCCCGTAGCATGGGCTCTCGGCTCCTCCCACGAGGCTCTCAACTCGCATCACCGTGCGCTGGCTCAGGTCATCAACACCCTCCTTTCTCTTCACGCCGTCTTCTACCTCAACTACTTCATCCAAGTGGGGATCCTGAAGCGCCGTCTTTTCGCTCCCGTCGTCTTCGCCGGCGTCCTTGCTTTCTTGTGTCTGGGCGCCATGATGTCCACCGCCAGCGGTTCTCTCCGCCGCCAGTCCTACCGCCTGTTCTTTCTCACCCATCTCTTCGCCGCCTTTGCCATACCGTCCTTGATATACTATCACGCGCCCTCCTCTCGTCTCTACATTACCGTCGGACTTGGCGTTTTCCTTGTCGACCTTACCGCTCGTCGCCTTCGTACCATCCCGGCCCGAGCCTCTGTTGAGACCATCCCCGGGACGAACCTCATCAAAGTAGTTGCCGCCATCCCTCGTCGCCATCTCGCCGCCTTTCACGCTCGTCCGGCTTCTCACGTTTATGTCTCTATTCCGGCCGATACTCGCCCCAGTGCCGGCTCGCTCCTGTTCGAGTGTCTTTTCAACCCCTTCACTGTTGCTGCCGTTAATGACGACGGCAACGCCACCATCGGAATTACACTCGTAGCCCGACAGCGCAGCGGCCCTGTTACTAAGCACCTCGCCCAGATCGCGTACCAGCACCGCTTCCCGCAGCAGTCCGCACTATCCGCTTTTCCCACCAGTGACGGCAACAACGGCACCACCAAGGTCGCACTGTCTGTCGAGGGACCCTACGGCCTCGTCTCCCGAAGATACGCAAATATGTTGGGCGCAGCGTCGGTAGACCGTATCCTCCTCGTGGCAGGCGGCGTAGGCGCCACATTCTGCGTGCCCCTCTACCGCGCCATACGCGCCGACCACCCTGGCGTCAAGGTCGAGCTCGTCTGGGCCCTGCGCGGAGCGGGCGATGCGACCTGGGCCGTCTCCCCCCGTGCAGGCGGCGAGGAGCAACCCAGCATCCTAGACGATGACAATGTGCACATCTATCTAACCGGCGATGTCGGCGAGGACTCGGCTCGGCCTGGTTTGAATGCCGCGCGCCGCACGAGCGTCACGACGTCTTCCGAATGCGGGGTCGCTGCGTCGTCACACGAGGCGGTGGAGATGAGCGCGCTGCACCGTGACCGGAGGCGGGACGGGCGCTTCACGGCCTCGCATAACCGCAAGAGGCCCGACCTCCGTAAGATCGTGGATGATGTGTTCCGGCATGGTGGTGAGGAGCGGGTTGCCGTGCTTGTCTGCGGACCGGAGGAGATGGCGCGAGAGTTGCGTGGGCACGTGGGGTCCTGGGTACGGAAAGGTCGGGATGTGGTGTGGCATAATGAGGGGTTTGACTGGTAAGGATATGGGTTTTATCACGAGTAGAACCATGCCGATGGGGTTGTTTAGGTCAGGATATATTCACAAACACAAAAAAGAAAGAAAGACATTCCATGCCAGTTTCAACATGCTACTTAGGCTGCGTTGGCGCATTATAGCAACGTGTATTTACGCTGCAAGGTTGATGGTATATTATACACTGGCGCCGAAGGAACGACCTCCCCCCCAAACCTTCCGTTATCTCTTCCCTCGTCCGAAAGCATGTAATATCCTGTATCTAACATCATCTTGCGACCACCGAGGTTGAAAGGGAAGAGAGAACGAGACGCCAAGCAACGACCTACGCTGAAGCCAAAAGCCGCTAAACGTATTATCCGTCATAGGCCCAAGAATAAGGGAATAATCATAAAACTCAGCAATCATCCTTCGTGTCCATAGTTGTCACAAGCCAGGGGGGCTGAGATCAACCCACCGTGACGAGTGTGACGAGCAGGCGGATGCATCATGTCTCCGAAACCAAAAAAAAAAGAAGAAAAAAAAAAGGAAAAAAAAAGACAGGTAGCTGTACAACAATCACGGCCAAAGCCACGGGTCAACGGGCGCTAGTCGGCGCGCTTCCCGTCTCCAATATCCCCAGAGGCGACATCATTCGACTTGGCCTTTCCCTTGGCCAGCGGCGCCCCCTCTTCGTCAGCCTGAGTACCCTCCCAGTCGTCGACAGCGTTCTCATCCCAATTATCGACCTCCTCTTCGAGCGTGCGGCCAGCCCTGGTTGGGGGGGACCCGCCCGTGACGCCCTCCTCCTGTCCGAGGGCAACATCTGCGGAGGACTCGCCGAGCTCGAGATCGGCATCGGCATCGGCTTCACCGGGCACGGCGCCATAGCCCCTCCGCGCGCGGCGGCGTTCGAGCATGCGCTTGTGGTACCAGGTGCAGAGGCCCACGGCGGCAAGGGAGCCGGCCACGTTGGCGGCGACGTCCCAGATGTCGAAGGTGCGGCCGTTGGGGAGGAGGGCTTGGAGGATCTCGGAGCCGAGGCCGAGGATGGCGGTGCAGACGACGAGGGTGAGGTTGAGGGTGCGGCGGCGGGTGGTGTCGATGATCCAGTAGAAGAACACGGTCAGGAGGAAGAAGGTCAGGAAGTGGAGGACTTTGTCGTTGACGTAGGGTTCCACGTGGAAAGAGCTGAGGCCGACGTACGCGGCTACGAGGAGGAGGACGAAAAATAACCCTGGGAAAGAAAAAAGGGTGGTTAGTGAGGATTAGAGGAGCAAGCAATGCGTTTGTTCACGGTGGGAGTTGGGAAAGTTGTCGAACTGCGTAGGTAGGTAGATCGATCGATCGAACGATCGGTCGAACGCAAAGCTGCCTAACATGAGAGAGAGAGATGGTGCAGTATGTGACATACCTGCAAAGGGGAGTCGTATCCTCATCATGGCAGCTGGGTTCTGGTTGGAAAGAAGATGCTTATGGAGATTTTGCTGGAGTTCGAAGTAGGTATATATATGTATGGTTGTTCAACAATGATGCATGGTCGACGTTGGTGATGCTCTGGGGAGAAGTTGCAACAAGTTGAATTGTTCAGTCGACTATTGTTCAAATTTAACAATGGCGGAGAATCGAGCTGGCAAGAAGACTACAGGAGGTAATTACGAAGTAATAGCTAGTATTACTCCGTAGAGGTACCTAGACATTTTTGGGTCAACCTGGGTCGCTAACGAAGTAAGATTATGGTCTGAAATTGTCCCCATTGCCGCATCATGGGCAGCTTCCCCCGGCTCTCTCGAAGACGCCAGGTCACGTGGATCTACAATTGGTCTGTGCTCAATATCTTCATATAATCGTACCGTATGCCCAATCTCTCAAATCAATTCACATCCCACCCAGCTAGCTGGAGCATCGTTTCTTGGATTGATACTTCTCCTGGCCATGAACGATTGCTTCACATTGTAAACCTCGAATATTCCCCGTTTCGGTCTACCGTTCCCTCTCTTCTATACCCCGTATCCGTACATCAACGGCCATGTCATGTTCCGTGATAAGATTCTCACGTGACTTGATGATTTGATATACGTAGGTACATACGGGGAAAGTGGAGACTTCAGGGACTTGGTTAACTGGCGATTGCGCTAAGGTAGGAATGAATGTTCTCTGGGGAAAAGTTCCGTGTACATGTCCTCTAGGAATCAACCATGCATTCGGACAATGGAAAGAACTGAATGCCTTCTTAAAGAACCTCTAAAATCATACAGTTAGTTCTACGACCTCTAGACCACTTTTTCCTTACGTCTGAAAAGTGAGTCGAGTATGTTATAGTCGGCCTGGAGCATTGCCTCATGTAGAGTCACTTCGTACCTTGGGGACAGTCGGCTACAACGTACCTTAGGTAGTTGTCCAGTGACCGCGCCAGGGAAACCCACCTGGGGGTGCAAGTCTCTCCGAATCCTCAACCTCACCTCGTGGAAACACGCGAAAACCGTACCTCTTCGAACCATCAAAACTCAACCTTTCCATCGTATCACGTCTCCAAACTCGGGAATTCATCTCTATCGATGTCGCGCTTTTATCCGATGCTATCGTAACCTACTCAATCCGCCCGAGCCTGGCTGCAATCGAGCTCAGATTCTCGCGCCTGGCGACGGGCGCCCGCCTCTCGCTGCCATCGACCCGGCCGCATCATGTCTCTCCCCAATGGCCATCACGCCTGGCAGCCTTCCGCCCTGCACTATTCAACGGCGAAAAGGTCTCCGCCGACTCTTGAAGATGGCCCGGCGCGGAATGGGACCCCTATCGACAACTCCATGGCATCGCTGCCTGAGGCATCCGTCGATATCGAGGATGACCGACGTCGCTCCCATTTCAGGGACATCTTTCGCGACAGTGAATCGAGGATAGCTGTGCTCTTTGCTGATGATGGATCTTATAACCACCCTGCTATCGATGCGCTGAGGCGCCAACCCGCCGCCTCGACCACCCTTCCCCCCCCCGCCACCGACCACACCCCAATACAAGAACCCCCCTTGAAGAAGGCCAAACGGGTCATCGATGAAGATGACTACGGAGACGATGACGAGGATGACGACGGCGATGACGATGAGCGAAGCGAGAAAGCACAGGAGTCGAATGCGCCCAAGGCGAAAAGTACCTCCGCTGCCGCCCCCGGTATGCTCCCGAGCCCTTCCAAATCCGGCAGTTCGCCAGTCCGTTCCGTAAGCTCCCCCGGCAAGATGCCCGTCGATAAACAGAGACAACCGGACGGGCCACAAGAACAAGAAAAAACGAGCGAAGATGCGCGAAAGCAGTTAGAGGACGCGCGCAATGCGACCGAGGAGGCGGCGCGTCGTAGCTTTTACACCCTCTTCTACACCCTAGAGAACGATAAAACGGCCATGTTAGAGCAGCAACAACTCGAAGAATCCGAGAAGCAGCTGCAAGCCGAGATGGCCAACAATGCCAACCAGAACAACGCCAATGGCAGCCAGTCGGGGAACCACGGGTCTCTGAGCAACGCCAACCTGGGCGCGTCCAGCCTGACGCTGAAGCACCTGATTGCCCGCATCGACTTGAAGCGCGACCAGGTACGCGCGTCTGATGCCGAGCTACGGTCCCTGATGAACGAGGTCCGCAAAAACCGAAGTAAATGGGCCAGCGAAGAGAACGTCAACCAAGAAGAGCTGTACGAGGCCCTCGACAAGGTCCTCACAGAACTCAAGGCACACACAGAATATTCCACGCCCTTCCTGCAGCGAGTGAACAAACGAGATGCGCCGGATTATTACCACTGTAAGCCCGACTTACGGCCTCGGGCGATTCCCCGGATCAGTGCAGTGCGTGCGTGCTGTACGCTGGCTAACACAAGACAACTTCTAGACATCAAGGAACCCATGGACCTGGGCACGATGACCAAGAAGCTTAAGCTGCTCAACTACAAATCGAAAGCCGACTTTGTCTACGACCTGAATCTGATATGGGATAACTGTCTCAAGTACAACCAGGAAGCCTCCCATCCCCTTCGTCGCATGGCGAATGGAATGAGGAAAGAGGCGGAGAAGCTCATCCCTCTGATCCCAGACCTCGTCATTCGGCCTCGTGCCGAGGTGGAAGCCGAAGAGCGCCGCAAGCAGAATGGCGGCGAAGAGGACGGCGGCGAGGACTCTGATGACGAGCCCATCATGTCATCTCGCGGTCGCACGGCCGGCACCAAAGGGGCAGCCAAGTCACGGAAACAGCACTCGGACCAGAAGGAAGACACGCCGAACGTGGACCAGAAGCCCCTCTTCCATCTGAACGGCGTGTTAACAAAGCAGAGAGAAGGGTCGGAGGCCGTGGACGGTAGTAACGGCTTTGCCACCCCTCCCATCGGCGGCTCTATCACACCGAGCCTCGCCAACGCTCAGTCCGTGGGGGGCGGCAGCAACAGCAACGTCGACGCCATGGATATCGATGGCGCCTCCTTGAATGGTATGGCCCTTGGACAAGCCATCAACGAGGCGGCCGACCAGGTCTACGAAGACGACGAGTACAAGTTTTGGAAGCAAGTCACTAAGAAGGACCGGGCTCTCATTGCCAAGGAACGACATGCTCTCTTCAAGGATAACAAGCTCAACATGGATGCTCCCGCGCTCCTACGTACCAAGGCGGGCATACGGCGCTACTTACGAGGTCAAAAGGAGGCGGCGGCCCATGGCATCATTAAGCATTCCCAGGCGGACCTGTCCGCTATCGCTGCGAAGGATGCGCCCAATCCGGCCGAGACGCTTGCTGAGGGCATGGAGGGCGAAGAGGAGAGGGTGGTCCCCGATTATTACGAGCCACTGACCGTCATTCCTGACATCAATCCCAGGCTGCAGTGGATTGAAGATGGCGAAGGCCAAGTGATCAACCAACACGAGGAGTTCCTCCGTTTGATCCCCGAAGGTCAATTCGTCGCACCAAAGAGCAAACTGACTGCCAAGATCGATGCCAATATTCGACAGATTCAAGAGACGAGGAAATTGGCGAGTAGGATTGGTGTCATTAAACAGATGCAAACGCAAACTCAGGTACGTCGTGGATGAACCGGGCGGCGGGCAGCGGGCGGAGGGCCGAGCGAAGGCATCTTCTCTGACCCTTTTTCCATCTTTTATAGGTTTACACCAATCAGTTCCCCAAGTCCACTTTCGAGTCGTTCATCGAGCAGGATATTGAGCCCTCGTTCATCTCCGATGACGGACCGGTCATTGCACCCGAGACCTGCCATAACGCGCTTCAACGCTCAGTGGCTAAGATCCTCTACCACAACGGATTTGAGGAGCTACAGCCCTCCGCCGTCGACGCCCTGACAAGCATCGCGGCAGACTACTTCCACAAGCTTGTCCGGACCTTTAACGTTTTCCGGGAAGCGGAGAAGAAGGAGGCTGTAGGCCCTCGCCCTGACGGCTCTCGGTTCCAACTGCGGTTTAGTCCCGAGGAAGTGATCCTGCACACGCTGGACGAGAACGGCTGCGATATCGGGAGCCTGGAGTCCTACGTCAAGGACGAGCTCGATAGGTTAAGCTCGAAGCTGGGCGGCATTCACGAACGAATGAAACTCCATCTTACCGAGCTGCTTCGTCCGGCGCTGACCCAGGACGCCGGGCAGGACGGCGCGGGTGCGTTCAACGACGGCAGCGAGCAGTTCATCAGCGGAGATTTCGCGGAGGATCTCGGCGAAGATTTCTTCGGATTCAAGTCGCTTGGCTTGGACAGGGAACTGGGTCTCGACATGCTCTCGGTGCCCCTCCATCTCCTCCAGGCGCGCGTCCGGAACCAGTACCAGATGCAGACCCAGGCCGTGGGCACGACCGCGACGCAGTTGCTGGAGTCCCTCCCCAGTCTCGAGCCCGTTACCAAGGAGAACATCCATGATCAGATTGGGCTTGTCAAGAACTTCTTTCTCGCCAAGCTGCACGCCAACGGTGACATGCCCTTGGTCGAGGACGAGGATCTCCCGGTTAAACAGAGGAGGCCCAGACCTCGCCTGGGTGCGACGGGCAAGATCGTCTCGCCGCCCAAGAGGCCGCCCCGAGAGCAGATCGCGCTGGCGAAGAAGAAGAAGAAGCTGGAATCTGGCCTGGCGCAAATAACCGATGGCAAGGGCGCTCCCGCTGCCGGGGGGCCATCGACGGAGAAGAGCGCCACCTTGTCGCCGTCCAAAAAGAAGAGCCTGTCTAGCGCGACTGGTAGCGGACCAAACACGGCGAGCCTTTCCGTTGCGCCCAGCATGGAGCGCATGGGTAGCATGCAGAGCCTGGGTAACACCAGCCAGGCGACGGACAAGGATGACGGCGGCTCGGAGAGCTTGGAGAGGTAGCATTTGTTCCTTTCTCTATTTGCCTCTTCCTTCTCTCTCTCTCTTTCTGGCACCGGTTACGACGTACAGCGCTGCTATGATCGCCCCATTGGCGATAGCCAGCACCAGGGCTCGAACTTTCCTATCTCACCAATCCCCCTGTACCATCAATTTACCTTTTATGGCGCTGCGACCTCTAAGCTCTCTTGACGTTTGATTTGTGGCTTAACAGGGCAACTTTTCGATCATGAGCGAGGTCTTTCGACCTTCTTTTTTTTCTTCTTTTTTTCTTTCTTATCTTTTCTCTCCTTTGTATCGGTTGGGAACCGTGTCTCGTTCCACACATGCAAAACGCACTCTTACACGGCGGCGTTGGGGAGCCTGAAATTTTGTCCGGCGTCATGGATTCTGGGCCAGGGATTGGGATTTTTATACCCTTTGCGGGATGGAGCCGACGCACTTCAGGTATTCGGGATACCCAAGCACACGCAGCTCCATGGTAACCAAGTCGACGATGTTTGATGCTTCTCTTGGGCCTTGGTCTGGTCGAGGCAATGGGGGATGGATGATGCTTTTTGCCTCCGGCCCGGTTGCCGCCGCATCGATTCAAGAACTTGGCAACTGGGCAAGGAGTCGGGGATCTCTCTTGAGTTTATACTCCAAGGGTCTCCGGCTTCCGTTTCTTTTCTCCCCATCTCGCATTATTTTATTTCCTGGCCGTCGACTTTGGTTTCTCCCGTCGGAGCACGGTATCCGATTCATTTAAACGCTTGGAAGGGCAGCAGGGTTGTTGTACCTGGTCAACCCATGGGTGGATTTTCAAGTATGGAGGACATGATTTCGAGGAATGGAGTCTTCTTTTGTGTGATAGTGGGCTGGCTGCATGTTAATGTTCATGGAAAAACAAGGGGGTCAGGGGTGGCATGATTTTCGGATTGTTGAGTGGAAAGGGATGGCTGTCCGAGATGGAATCTCGCGAGCCCCCTACTGAGGTGGAACGAGACTGTTGCAAGGTTCGAAGCATCTCATGGTCACATCGCCATCCCGGACTGAATTCTTCGTCTATAACGAGTATTCGTTCAACCACAGCTAGCTTCAACCTCCAGCCCCGACATCCAATGCTTTGGGGTGTGGCAGCCTTTCTCCTTCAGCGCGGAACAGGGGGTTTGGGTTGGATGACAGCACGAACGAGGGAGAGATGGTTGGATGATAGACGTTAGAGGATGAAGGCACACGTGTATGCACTTTGCCGTGCCGTGCTGCTGCTGCTGCTGTTGTTGTTGTTGTTGTTGTTGTTGTTGTTGTATAGGAATTGGGGATTAGGCGGTCGGTCGTTGACGATTTGGTCCTGGAGTACCGTGGCTTCAATCCAAAGGACGTTTCATTTCACTTCTGTGGTCCCTTCACTGCTTGTCGTGTTCTCCGTCCCTTGTATTCGCCGGAGGCGAAGATACGTTGGGGCAATAGAATTCCCTCTTTTGTGATCCGGACTTTGAAACAAATGTTGGCGATCATTCCTCATCGTTGACGGACAACGACCAACCCATTTTTAAGCCCACGGAAGTCATAATAAGTCATAGTCTATGTATGTAAGGCCCTCGCGCATGTTCATTATGTTGATACATAAGTTCCAATAGCCAATGGGTCTAAAGTGCCGAGGGTAGATCCAACTGTTACTATTTACATAATTCCCAAACATCCCGAATGTTACATAGAAACGAGGTCTTTTCTTAAAAAAATGTCCTTTATTTGAAAACCCTAGGCTGTTTGTTTTCAAGCAGACCTTCGAGCAGACCGTACATCACGCAAGTATATAGCTTCGGTAAAAGAATACCACCAGCATTCTTATCTCCTACGAGTCCGGGTCCGAAGCAAGCAACAAGGCAAAGAGAACAAGGAAAAAAGAAAAGAAACAAAAGTGAAGACTCCTCGGCTTGGTCCTGTATTGCCGGGACACAGCCATCCTTCGCTGAGCTAGACTAGACCAGTAATAAAAACAAGCCCTTGCAGAGGAGGGCTGCCCCTAGAATATCAGACATACTCTATACACTCACAACACACCTGTTCCCCGATCCCACGACCCCCTAACGCACGCCTTCTTTTCCTGCATTCGGACATTTGGATACAAAGATCGTATGATGAGCCCGCCTTTCCTACCTTGTCATGCCCGACCTTTACAAACTCCGAAAAGTTTCGAAAGCAAAAAGAAAAACAAAAAGGAGAAGAAGAAAAAAATGGGGGATTAACACACGTCCCGACCCAGACAGCTGGACCCTCCTCTCCCCTTGTCGATATGCCACTGATTGACCATATAAGTACAATCGTGTGCTATATCGTTGGTTTGTTCATTGGACAGCCTCCAAGACATGGCCGCACTCCAGATGGGGTGTCTATTAAACACATCGCCTAGAGGTGTGTGCTACCTCAGGCGATGTGCTCTTGATGCCGACACTGAAAAGGCCAACGCCATTTCAGGACCGACAATGATATGCTAAAAAAATTGAGAGAAAAATGGGAAAAAAAGAAAGGGAGAACGGCAAGTTCTCCTACCTGATGCAATCACAAAGCAAGGCATTAGGAAAAAGCGGCGCGTTTTATACGGACCAACTATGCCCATGTCAATGTTGGAATCGCTAATGCGGTTGTTGAACATGGGCGACAGCTTGCTGCGGCATTTGTGTCGGCTGTTGTTGCACCTGCGACTGCTGGTGGTGGTTCTGCTGAGGGGTGCCGGGCAAGGGAGTAGGAGGAGCTTGTTGCATGAGCGGTGTTCCGTTAAGACCGGGCCGAGCCAGGTTGCCCGCATTCACCGGGCTCTGGGGCTTCGGTCCCGTCCCGCCCACCATTCGCGCTCGTTGTGCCGCATACTGGGCGCCGTCGTAATTGCCGACCCCCATCCCGGCCATGCCTGCGACTGGACCGCCCTGCGAGAGTTTATCTCCAAAGGACACGCTGTTCTGCTGTGCCGCCGCCCTGGCACGCGCTTGCTCCATCAGCCGTTGCTGCTGCTGGTGCTGCTGCTGGTGGTGGTGGTTCTGGTCCGGCGTGGATGTCATGTATCCCGTCGGACCTTGCGCAAGACTGCCCGGCGGTACCTGATGCGCACCATTGGTGGCGTACTGCTGGCGATTGATGGGCGTCCCAGGCATGTTCTGATGCGGCGCAGCATACTGTCGCTGGCGCTGCGCTTGCATCTGTGGGTGTTGCTGGTGATGAGGATGGGGATGCTGCGAGAGCGGCTGGTGTGGTTGAGCGTGCTGAGCGGGGCGTGCTTGCTGCGGGAGCGGCGGCGACGGACTGTACTGACCGGCCCGGACTTGTGGAGACATGGGCCTCGGCTGAATGGTCGGTGTCCCGTTGGGGTACCCACCGTAATTACCCGGGGTCGGCGTACCCGGTTGGGCCTGATAACCCTGACCGTACCCTGCCTGATAGCGCGGTGCGGGGGAGTTGTGCTGCGGGGTACTGGCTCCGTACGGGTGGTACTGTGGAGGGCGCTGCTGGGCTGTATACTGGGGCGAACCATGGTGACCGTAAGGCGTCTGAGACTTGGCCAGCTGCGGAACATAATGGTTGGCATACCCATTGGCAGGCCGATGTGCTTGGCTGAGCTGTGGTCGGTACGGCTGCGGTGCGATGGCATGCGGTGCGCCGGGACGTGGGACGGTGTGCGGTTGCGGCTGCGGCTGCGGCTGTTGTATCGGCGTTTGGCCTTGTCGGTAAAACGTCTGCTGTGGCACCGGCGGCCGGGTTGGAGTTCCATACTGGTTTGCCGGAGCAAACTGGGCTCCGTACGTGGGTGCATTCGACGTCCGGTGGCCGGTTGACCGGCTTGCGGCTGTCGCCGTGACCGCCGCTTGTTGCTGTTGACGCGCTCGGGCCTGGGTGGCACTCTCATCGTCTAACAGGCCCTTTGATTGTTCCGTGTGTACTTCCATCTTGGTGTCCACGAGCAGTTCGTTTAGCTGGTCGCCGTCCAGCTTGGCGACGGCATACGGCGGGAGAGTCTTTATGATAAGCGCCAGCTGCGCTTTGAGGACATCGTACGCTGCCGTCTCGTCTTCGGAGGGGGAGGGACCCGTACTGTTCGCCAACATGTCGCTGTTGGCAGGGTCTGCAGAGTACCGATTTTGCGAGGATGGAAGAGAGAGATGACGAATCCGCTGGTGCGACGCGAGGGTCACAATCATGTCGGAGACTTCGTCGAGTAACTCATCTGCCTCCTTCTCCTCGTCGCTCTTCGGTTTGCACATGACGTTGTTGAGAGCTGGGTCGACCAAGGCCGGATCCCAGTTCTTGATGACATCCTCGATGATGTCCTCGTTGACTTCCATGGGCTCCGGCACAGGCGTCTTTTCAGACTCGGTTACGTCCTCCACCTTTCGTTCCACTTCCTCGATCATCCGGTTAAAGTCGCGTTGGCCGGCCTTGTACCAGTGCACCCGACTCGCCAGGCTCGCCGGCACCACAGCCCCGGCGTCGTTTTTGCAGGGAGCAAAGCTCGAGAAGGCGCCGCGAAAAAGGCTCTCCATCTCGGCGACTTCCAATTCTGACGTGGAGGGTTTGTGTCCCGCAAGGCTCTGTGCCCTCTTATGATGCACCGTCGCTCTCGTGGCGGTGGGGGACGTAGTGTTGCTGTAATCGATATAGTAACCGACGGACAGTTTTTGGCTGAAGTAGGACGGTGAGCGATAGCTCGATCTTTCGACCAGTTGGGGGTGGGAGAACCCAAGCACGTTGCCCTTGGTCTGCGGCTTGGGTTGCTTGGGTGGTTGTAGAGGTAAAAGAGGTCGTGTCGGGCCGAACACTTCACCTAGGGTGCGACTCCGCTCCATTTGCCGTGTAGGGACCAGGCGTGTGGTCTTTATGATGGAGGGTAATATGAATTCCGAGGGTTGTTTGAGGGCGACATGTTTCTCGTCGGGATGAGTCACCGACCTGGGCAAGCTGGAAAACAGCGGTCTCCCCTGGGGAGTCTTCCCGAACACGGTCAAGATGGTGTTGCCCTGGTTGGCCGAACCGGCAGCTGTGTCGTAGGACATTTTCTGCATCGGGTCGAAGGCTGTACGGGGATATATCATCTCTCTCCGCAGAATCTCCAAGGCTTTTTCCTTGAACCGAGTGATTGCCAGGATAGCCTCTTGAGTTTTTTTGTTCGGTCTGGGACCGTCCTTCCGGGAGGCAGATTTGAGTTCTTCCAGTTGCTCTTCAACGACGGCGACGACGTCCATCGCGAGATCGTCCAGCAGTGAATACTGCTCCTGCGCAGCTTTCTGTGCGATGCATGGTGGGCTAGGGGTGCTGGCTGATTTCTGTCGTTTGGCGTCTGGCTCATCGTCGGACTCGGACTCGCGAAGCGGTCGTTGAAGTATGGATGGTATAGTATCGTAGCTGGTAATGTTTGCAAGTCAGCAACCGATAACTGACCAGTTAAAGAGGATACGGGGACGTGTTCAAGAAACAGTTCGAGATAAAAATGGCTAGTGGGGTCGATACGCACAAGCAGAGTATAAAAGGAGAGGGGGGAAAGGAATGAAAAGAAGAGAGAACAGAAGCAGAGAGACGAACTTTGTCAGTATGTCGACAATGTCGCGGATAAGTGTCGGCGAATCCTTGAGCTGTGATGTGTTATCGATATCCATCTTGGATTCATCGTGACCATCGGAATTTGCCTCGACGTCATCCTCGCGTTTCCTTTTAGTGGGCACGACGGCCTGGCTCGAGTCGGAGTTGGGGTGGCTGGCCGTCGCAGTCGCAGCAGCATCGGTGGTTGCAAGTGTAGGAGAGAGAACGCCGTTAGGCTCAACCGACACCGTGGGCTGCGCCATTTTGGAAGGCGTGATGCGTCCGTTCACGGCGACGCGGCGGGCAATTGTTCGAGTGGTGGTGAGGCACTGAGGTGCTAGGGTGCGTTGCGCCGATTAGCAAACCCCTGATGTCGATGGGGATTTTTCGGGGGTGGATTGTCGCGACCAGGACGCGCGCTGAGGTTCGTCGCTTTGGGGGGGGGGGAACTTTCTTGGTGGAACTCCAAAACCTCTTACTTCTGCCGGTCCAGCGTCGAGGTGACAGGGACGGGGACTGGACACTTGGACACGGTGCTTCGGGACCACTATTTATCCGAAAAGTACCCAAGGAAACACACCACTCAACATCTACAATTGATGTAACAGTGGAAAAGGGTCTAAGAGAAGGTGGAGAATATAATATATGACAATTAAACATCAGATGTTTTGTTTGGTAGAGGAAGGAAATGAGAAGAGGGATGGGGGGAGGAATTGAGGGAGGAATTGAGGGAGTAAAATGAGCCCAAAGTAGTCAGTTGTAGGACAGTGCCTGCCTGCGTTTCTCATCCGAAGCAACTTTGCGGCAGAGACTAGCACAGACACTAATCCTGTTTCGTCACATTCAGTGATGCCTGTATAGAGTAAAATGGGTCTTTTCACGTGACTCGCGCAGTGCGTAAGCTCCTAGGGTAAAACTGTATCGGCTCGGCATAGCCAAGACCGCCCGTTTATCTGTACGTTGTATAGGAAAGTTAGTGGGATCTTCTAGTGGTTTAGGTATAATAAAGGAATAGTATTTTGCTAGGAAAATAACTATATATAAGTACTATAGCTAAATCCTACTTTGGATTGGCCTAATAACAGATTCCTATAATTAAGCCGATTCTTTGTATAATCCTGCTAGCTAGGCGGATCTTGTGTTTTCACACAGTGGTCCTTGTCGAGACAAATCACTGACGTATCCACGTACTTCGTAAATGCTCCGTAATTACACAACAGCACCGTTGGTCTCATGCCTGGGATCGTTGACAGAATACCAGCACGTACACGTACTATAAGAGTACCTAGATATCCGCACAACGCCTAAGTACCTAAGGTACTATCTGTAATGTACTGTATACAACATACACTATCTGGACTGGGCGTCGCTCAATACTTCGTACATCCTACGACCTTGTTTCTTCTCACTTGAATATGAATGGTGCAAGTCCGGTTGTCAGGCCAGGCATACTACACTACTACCATTAGGAATCCCTTATTTCTATCACCAGGCAAGATGCAAATGAGAATCGCTGCGTCCACCGCTTCTCTCCCTCGCTACCATGTTTGGGCTACACAGTCTATCTGCGAGAACTCTTGTCGGGCTCGTCTTCTCGCAATATGAAAAGAAGCGGATGTGGAACAAGTATGAAATTGTGCTAGTGTGCCGGACCCGAACAGACAAAACAAAAATCAAAAGTAACAGCCTTGACAATACAAATGCACCTCAGGGATGCTAATGCTGGGGACTCAAAAAAAAACCCCCCGAAACTGAAACTGCGTCTTCGAATTGAACTACAAAAGAGAGGTAGGTAGGTGGCGGCCAACCATAGCCAACAAGTCATGCGATCCTAGCTAAGCTGTTGAATCTATTTCTTGGCCTTGGCCAGACCGACGGCATTCCTGCCGAGGTCGTAGACAGAGTACCAGCGTCGCAGGAAGGAATCGCCGAGAATGATCAGAGGACCGGCCGGCTCGGGGATGTCCATGCCCTGGAAGGTGGAGATGCAGCTGCCGCTCACCTCGAGGATGTAGTCGTGCGCCGAGATGCTGTAGTTGTAGCCGCTCAAGGCGAAGGTGATGTCCGGAAGTTCGTCCCGCTTGGCGCAATCGATCGTCCATTGGCCGTTCCAGCCCTTCTTGGCACCGATCTCGGAGTTGAGCATCTCCGCCAGGGACGACGGGAGAACGGTCAGCGACGTGCCGGTGTCGAGGATGGCACCGGTGTTCTCGAGCTCGGCCGTCTGGTCACCCAGGCTAATCGAGTCAATATCCACCTCCCAGTAAGCCTTGCGGCGGAGCGGGATATAGGTGATGTCGCCCTCGTAGTGGTCCTTGTTGACACCGCCAAAAGCGGCCTCGCTCTCGTCGCCTTCCACGTTGGTGTCGCCAAGATAGAAGGCGAAGACGGGCTCGTCGATGGCACCCTGCTTGATCATGTTGTAGAAAGGAGGGACAATCTTGTTGACCGAGATGGTATCATAGCCGAGGCCGAGGATGCCATCAAAACGGCCAAAGGCGAAGGTGAGACCCGGCTCCTTGGTCGCCTCGGCGAACTCCTGCTTCTCAATCTTGACGTCTCCGATGGTCATGGTGTCCTGGGACACGAAGCCACTCAGGCTGCCAGAGCCATAGGTGATCTCAAACGAAGAGCCGTTGGCTTTGTAGGTCGAGGATGACGACGAGTCGTACTTGCTGTGCAAGTAGCAGGCGATGCTCGTGCACTTCTCAGAGGGCACCCAGAGGTTGGAGCTGCCCGTGTCAAGGACGACCTTGAAGGGTTGAGGAGGCGTTCCGATGGTGATCTCGGAGAAGTCTGGTCATAGCTCAAAAGTCAGCAGCGGCATGGATGATGGGAAACCCCCTTGGCACAACCGGGGCTTGAGGAGTAACGGACATTGGGCATTCATGAAGTTCGTGACGGGAACCAGGTGCATGCCGTCAGACTGGACGGGCTTGGAGCTGAACATAGCATCGAGGTGGTTCTCGGGCCGGATGCCCATGTACTTCTGGCCAAGCTGCCTCGCCTGGATGTCAACCGGGACGGTAGCCTGCAAAGAAGCGTCATCAGTATCAATCTCATCATCAAACAAGCAGCGTTGATTCATATCGCGTATTCCCATTTAGCATGCATCAATACGCACCAGCTGCTCGGCCAAGGGGATCTTCTTGAGCTTGAGTTTGTGGACCTCGGCCGTGGCGGACCCAAGCAACACAGCTGCCGTGAGAGCGGTGGTCTTCATGGTGGGCGACCTTCGATGCACCTAGGACGGGGTGGATAATCAAGATAGGGATAAGTTATCCCAAAGGAAAGACGGGAAGGAGTCAATCCAAGCGAGGAGACGAAAGAAATAGAAGATGTTGGGAGAATCGGGCAGATGATGGTTGATGCAGGTGGGAACCTGGAAGGGGAGGGATGGAGAAGGGATGGGGAAGGGATGGGGAAGTAGGTACGGATAACGAACGAGAAGCAGGCAACAGACGGGACGGGCGAATGATGACACAACAGCCCGGGGAGCGTGCGTACCACCTAGCAACCCCAGCTCTGCCTTGAACGTCACTTGCTGGGTACGTACGTGTACATGCTCTTGTACCTGGTAGGCATTAATTGGTGCACTACGAAGTACAGTATCCGTACAGCCAGTATCCGATTGGCTTCCTTGCTTGCTAGCCCATTAGCCCTCTGTATCCTGTGACGTTTTATCTTAGAGCGGAGACGAATCGTAATGCGTAAAAAGACTCCACTTGCTTTGTGGTGGATTTGGTATGCTCGAGGCCGAACGGATCTGAAAGCTCGACACTGTGGAGCATGCATAACTACGGAGGTAATTACTAATTGCGGAGTTGTGTCATTCCAGCGGGAATGTGACTGCAAATACCTTATATTAGTACACGGGGTTCCTGCATGATATCAAGATAAGATCTGCTGCATAATATCCCATGACCCAGCCATCTTCCGGTACTCGGTGATCGTGGCGGAAACACCGGGCTTTTCCAAACCGTCAAAATACTCCGTGGGCGATGATCCAGTGCTGTCCTTAAAGGAGGCACGGGATGTTCATCACAAGGCACCACAACGCTGCTTCTTAACACCAGATAGCCGTTCAGCCATGGCATCACAAATGGGTATGGTCTCCGTCAGGCACTGTTCCCTACAATCTTTCTACGACCATACACGTTTACGCGTAGTTCTTTTATGCTCTCTCGATACTCGCATCGTCCAGCGAGATATATATTCTCAATAACGGTGGTGAGGCAGCTGTCACTACGGGACTGCTATGAATTTGCCCAAGACTCCCATGCCCAGTGTCCCGTCCGGCTTTAATTACTTCGTATGACTGTAATGGCAATTCCTACAACAACAGTCTCCAATATATCGAGAGATGACGGAGAAGGTCTCTACCCAGATAAAAAAGCGTGCGGCATATTCTTCTAGGGGGGAATTTTATAAAAGGAAATTCTTACTGGACAATCCATTCATCTAATGGCCGTTTATACACTAAGGTATATCTCAATACGCGACTACCTTAGACTTCGGTGTGTTCGTCTGGCCTCTGACCAAGTACATTTGTAGCTCGTCCACGATCTTACGGAGTACTTTTTCACCGAACCTCCACCTTCGACTCAAAGCGGCACTCACCGTTCCCACCGAGATACCATTTCGAACTCCGAATATGTATCGGGGTACCCATCTCCTCCCTTCAAAGCTGGGTCCGAATCGGACTTGACCTCGCCGGTCTAGCGCCTCTTCATCGACCGGGACCGCCAATCATTCGGTGCCCCTCGTTGGCCCCCACCTGTGCCTCTGCCCCTCACACGATTGTCAGGTCCGACTCGTACTGCGGTCCGGCTCTGGACCCCTCCACCACGACCCAAATTTTTCTTTGCGCTCTACTTTCCATCCAAGCTGCCCCCGACTTTTCTCTTCCGTCTCCCCCCCAAAGAAATTCCTCCAAAGGGTCCCCTACTTCTCTGCTATTTTCGGACCTCTAATTTACCGCCCCTAACCAGTTCTTCCTTCCACAACGACATCACAATGGCTTCCAATGGCGCGTCCTACGCCCTCAGCAACTCCCACAAGGAGGTTCGTCGCACGCAGTTGCGCTATGCTACAAGTTCTTTATATTATACTGACTCACTGTTTAGATGCTCGAGAAGTCCCTTCTTGACTCCGACCCGGAGGTTGCTGAGATTATGGTTCGTACCATTCCTCCTCTTCCCCTTAGCAAGCTCTGCATGTTCTAAACTATTCTAACATGGAATTCGCTGGGATTGTAGAAAGATGAGATTCAGCGCCAGCGCGAGTCTATCATCCTCATCGCCTCCGAGAATGTGACTTCCCGCGCCGTCTTCGACGCCCTTGGTTCTCCCATGTCCAACAAGTACTCCGAGGGCTACCCTGGCGCTCGTTACTACGGTGGCAACCAGCACATTGACCAGATCGAAAAGCTTTGCCAGAGGCGTGCTCTCCAGACATTCAACCTCGACCCGAGCAAGTGGGGTGTCAATGTCCAGTGCCTAAGTGGTAGCCCTGCCAACCTGCAGGTATACCAGGCCATCATGCCCGTCCATGGCCGTCTCATGGGTCTCGACCTCCCTCACGGTGGCCATTTGAGCCACGGCTACCAGACCCCGCAGCGGAAGTAAGACGCAGACATCCAGCCCCCCGCCCCCTTCCCTCGATCTCTGCAAAGCCCGTATGCTAATCATCGCAGGATTTCCGCCATCTCCACTTACTTTGAGACGATGCCCTACCGGGTAGATCTCGAGACCGGCATCATCGACTATGACATGCTCCAGAAGAACGCCATCCTCTTCCGGCCGAAGGTTCTAGTCGCCGGTACCTCTGCGTACTGCCGTCTCATTGACTATGGCCGGATGCGTAAGATCGCCGACTCGGTCGGTGCCTACCTTGTCGTTGACATGGCCCACATCTCCGGCCTCATCGCTGCCGGTGTCATCCCCTCGCCCTTCGAGTACGCCGACATCGTCACCACTACCACCCACAAGTCGCTCCGCGGACCTCGCGGCGCTATGATCTTCTTCCGCAAGGGTGTTCGCTCCGTCGACCCCAAGACTGGCAAGGAGACCCTGTATGATCTCGAGGACCCCATCAACTTCTCCGTCTTCCCCGGCCACCAGGGCGGTCCCCACAACCACACCATTACTGCCCTGGCCGTTGCGCTCAAGCAGGCCTCTTCGCCCGAGTTCAAGGCCTACCAGCAGAAGGTCGTGGACAATGCCAAGGCCCTTGAGAGCAAGTTCAAGGCCCTCGGCCACAAGCTCGTCGCCGACGGCACCGACAGCCACATGGTCCTCCTCGACCTCCGCCAGCACAGCCTGGATGGCGCTCGTGTCGAGGCCGTTCTCGAGCAGATCAACATTGCCTGCAACAAGAACGCCATCCCCGGCGACAAGAGCGCGCTTACCCCGTGCGGTATTCGCATTGGCACCCCCGCCATGACCTCCCGCGGCTTTGGTGAGGCCGACTTCGACCGCGTCGCGGGCTATATCGATGAGAGCATCAAGATCTGCAAGGAGGTCCAGGCCTCTCTTCCCAAGGAGGCCAACAAGCTCAAGGACTTCAAGGCCAAGGTCGCCGGCGGCGAGGTTGCGAAGATCAACGAGCTGCGCCAGGAGGTTGCCGAATGGTGCAAGGACTTCCCCCTGCCCGTCGAGGGCTGGCGCATGGATGCTGGTCTGTAAGTGCCAGAGCAAGTACGAACACTCTTGGTCCCCGAGTCCAGTTCTCAACTAGGACGGGGGGGACCACATTTCAACATTACCCTGGGTATAGACAGTATGGACGTCACTTCGAAAAAAAGAAGGGCGGGCCCGGCTCGGAAAGAGACATTTTAACATGAGTCACGAACGGAAAAAAAGGTATGAGAGGGAGGAGGGGAAGAATAACGATGCATGCATCTCACCGGGCGTTGCAGAGTTGGTTTCCCCTCTACACTGGCAAAGGTACACACGGAGATCAACACAAACAATTACGGGCTTTCGCGGTCGGGAGTTATATTTGGGTGGCGTTTTTCAACTCGGCACTTTAGGCATTTAGCTGCCGCTTCAACGCGGCAGAGAAGTTCTCAATGCAATACTTTGATATCCCATCTCTTCTTATTCGAAACACTGGCGAGAAGCGTTCCTTGAGAAGTCCACATTTGTGATCGCACTATAAAATCAATAACCACCGCGATACTCTGCCTGCCAACACCTGGATGGTGAGCTGCTGGCCTGCCAGTGACACTGATCACAACCATGAGTATACCTGGGAGTTGGAACTCGCTTTCGGTGATATAAGGAGGGTGAATGGCGCAGCTTCGAAATCATGGAGACAGGAACGTATACACTTCCCATATTGCCAGCCCTCCGAAGTCTCTCAGTGTCTGCGTATTTTACAACAAGTTCGGATTTTGCGCATATAAAAGCGTCTATATAAGTAGTTGCATGTAACAGAGATCCCAGGACTCAAGGGTATATATTTGTGCCTGTTCATTTGGCGAATCCCGTCCAGCCCTGTAGAGCCCAAGTGCCAATCCAGGTAGAATGCGTCTCATTAACCCACTGCCCCTCTTTCGGCGTGGTGGTGTTATTTTTCCAACCACTCCCTTGGTACGCCGGATCGATTATCTGGCACCTCGCGTGCGCCTCGACTGCCGACTGCTGTTCCCGGGTCCGCGCCGCGAATCCCGTTCCCCCGCCGTTCCCATCCCACTGTTTCCGCATGAGCGCCAACAGGGTCTTGAGATCCCGGAGGTGGCCGCGGGTATCGCTCCCTGTGTACTGCCCGACCTCGTCGGCGGTTGGCCAGTGGATGCGGAAGGCGTCGTTGCAGGTGCCGCTCTCAACTTGGCGCTGCAGATCCGATTGGAGCTTGGTTGCGACGTCCTCGTGCAGCATGGGCTCCGCAAATGTCCGGAATGCACATAGGGCCCGTGATATGTACTTGGCGTCTTTGTTGGGGTCGCTCAAGGTCGACAGCCTGGGGAGATTGCCTAAAATTTGTTGGGCCAACTCGGCCATCGCATGAAAATCTCCCAAAAAGGCGAGGGTTCGCATGTAGTTGTTGATTGAAGTTGACTTCAAAGTTCCGGGGCCCAATGTCCTGTTCTTGCCGATAAGACGGTTGATATTCCCGGACTCCATGGGTGTAAGGCTCTGCCAGGCTGCCTGTAGCCTGTCGTGGGCTTGCCTGATGAGCCAAAGGGGTGTCGGGTGCACTGTGTTATCTTGGAGCCAATCATGGAAAACGGCTTCCCCCATCTCTGGTGTCCGTTGTTGCGAGACCTCTCCGAAGAGCGACAAGATCTCCTTATCGACAGCGCTGAGATCGGAACCATTGGAAAGACCGCTGATCAAGCCAGGAAGCCTGGTCTCTAAAGCTTTCTGGATGACTCGTCCGAAAGACTCGATCATTGGCAAGGTCAAGCCACAATGTGCTTCTGCTTCTCGCAGAATTTGCCCGCCCATCTTGATCAGTTCGAGACTGTTCTCTGGCGGGGGGAGATTGCTAATCATGATGTTCGGTCTTGCCAAGTTCTTCATCATGGTTTCCCAAGGCACGGCGCTTCGATCTCCAATCGACACCCAGGCTGAGCGAGTGATTTGGAGTGCTCTATGGATTTTCCCAAGCTCGGCAGCAGCATAACTCCGAGTATTCCTGGTTCGATTCGGTTGCAGACGACAGCACAACTCGACGACTGCATGAAGTGTTGTGCGCGGAATATCTCTCACGAGAGCGGGAGACATGTCAGTACCTTGCACGAACTCTTCCAGACGTTGCCGGTATATGTCGTTTAAAGAACTGCGCCGGATGTATGTGACGGCTTCCTTGGCATTCTCCGCGTGACGCAGGAGCAACTCCAAGCATCGACGGTCGAGAGGGACACCCTCGCGGACCATCCAATCGGTTAAAGTGGCAATACTGGGTGGCTTGAGCCGGGCTTTCTCGAATTCACTGAGATTCGAGTCATCAAAGGGGAATGTCTCTCTGCCCTCACCGGGGAGATTGTCATGATGAGAGCTGGAGGCCTTTGCCAATATTTTGGCCATCAACTCCCAATACACCTCCTCATTTGGATGCAGCTCAGGACTCGGCGGGTGTTGGAAAGCCTGCCAGGCTTCCTGAGCGTTCCGCGTCGCTCGAACTTGCGCTGCCCAGACAGAATGCATCGACGCACTCAGGGCGCGGTAGGTGCTTCGTGTGTGAATCGTGGGAGACCCGTCAGGTGAGAGCCCTCCCAGGACGTCTGTTACTATATCGCGAAGTGTCTGGGCGTAGCCAGATTCCTGCATCATGAAACCGGCCTTCACTGTCCTGCTGTAATATTCTTCGATTGGCAGCGCCTCTTCCATCCCGTTCCTGAGAACACGATAGGGTGGCCATGTCATCTTCAGCGCCGTTGCCGTCTCTCGTTCCGCCTCCGACTTGCGAATCGCTAGCAGGACCTGGCGAATGGCCTGATAGCTCTGCTTCTTGGTAACAAGTGCCTTCTTCAGCCCCGTCGAGTACGTGAGTAATCTCACAATAGCCTGCCAGTTAAAGCTGAGGTTGACGTATGGGTTCTGCGCGGGTGGAATGCAGAGCTGTTGTAGGGTCGAGTTGAAAGTAGAGCATATGGAGACGTAGCCGCAATCTTCGTGGGAGCCTCGTGATGCCGCGGAGACGGCTTCCATGTGCGCGATGGCAAGATCTGCAATGCCTAAAACGGCGCCCGGGTGAATGCGTCGAGAGAGGGCGAAGAGCCGTGTTAGGTTCTTCTGCGCAACAGCATCTGGCCAATTCCGGTCGAACTGCCCGGAAGAAGGGATAGAAGCCGGAGCCTCTCTGTCGCACAGCTGGTCACAACTCGTATACCATGCCTTGCAGTACTCAGTTAACGATTCGAGGGACTCGGGGGACATCAGTCTCCCGTTGTGGTTGTATTTGTCGTTGAGTATATGGTTCAGTAGAAAAGCCGGCCTGTAACGTGGCGCAGACATAAATCTCTGAACTCTCTCCTCCTGTGTCTCGGCAACGAGAATATGGGCCCAGTCGATCACATCCTCTCGGTGGAAACCTCGTGCATCAAGTTTCGACAACCTCTGTTCCCATCCAGAGTCCTCTGGGAGGTATTTTCTGAGATTTGGATCCAAATTGGGAGCACAATAGAGGACCATCTGAGCCGTTACAATGGGAAGGCGCGGATCTTTTAGAGTCGCCAGGAGTCTTGCGGTCTCCCATTGTGTTGGACCGACGTCGCTTGGCGACTGATGGAAGATCCGCATCGCCGTCTCTAGCAATAGACTGGGTTGATAATTCTTCCTAGGTACGGTCCGAGGTTTCTGGACGGAATCGTTGCGGGATATCGGGGTTCTTTGGTATGAATTCGAGGGGATCGTGTATGGCTTGGAGGGTAGATCATCTGTCCTGAGGCTAGACGCCGCCGCAGCATCACTCGACTGAAGTCGCTTAAGTGTCTTTCCTACCACTAGCGGCTTGGAGCCCTGCGATATTCAAACGTTTAGAATGCCACCTTATCCTTACAGTGGAATCAATGCTCACTTACCCTCGATCTCAAGGGATTCCTGGCGAGCCGCGGACACCTTGCCAGGGCCGAATAGTGTGGTCTGGATAAGGGCAACCGCCACATTGCCCCATTGCGATTGAAAAAATGCCACTATGAGGCCATTTGCAGTCGGAAATCGTCTTTCATCCGCGGTTCTGATTGCTGGGTCTCCAAGTTATGTCGGCAAGAAATTCCCGGTCGCTATCTGAGGCACGAATTGAAATATTAAGGTAAAGGTATCCGGGAGTACGGCGGAGGAGAGCAACTTGGGTAGGTACCTTACGCAGAGTCGCATGATCACGTGGCGATAAGATACTCGGCCCAGGACATCCAAACAAGAGCAAGTCAAAAGGTGCCAAACGCAGGCCTTTTCAACCTACCTACCTACTCCCTACTCCGTAGGTCGCCTTCAATTCTTCGGATGAAGCATGTTTTCGCCCTCCGCCAGACTTCGTGTTGGTCAATTCAACCTTACTTGAACCTCCCCTCCCATGGCTTCAGAGCTGTCAATATGCGGCTTGGCCAGCAACGTATAGCCTCGGCACTTTGCCGCAACTTCCACATAGCACACCTTGTCCCCCGACCACGCCGATCGTTCCATCTGACGACGGCAACTCAACTGCCCCGAAAACGGAACTTTTTCACTTCCAATATCTACCTGTCTCAAAACGGCGAACCGCCAGCGGAATCGACGACAGCGACTGAGAATGGCAGGCACACCACAGCAAAACCCCCACCACCACCACCACCACCGCCGTCGCCACCGCCTCCTCCAAAGCGGAGGGGCAACCGTGCAGTCAGTGCGAAGAACTCGCTCCGCCGAGTCGCCATCATCGCGCAACGACCGGCCCAACGATCTCCCGACTCCCGCACGATAATTGATTCCCCCGAAGAAGAGCCGTCGCACAAGATGATTTCGGCGGTCTGCGTGTCCGAGGCCTTCGACATGGCGACCGTCCTAGACATCCTATGCGCGCACGGGTTCGACATCGATCCGGACAACACAGGGTTCGAGGCGTCGGAGGTGGTACACGCGCGCGGGGTCAACGGCGGCGACATCTTCGTCTTCCCGTCCGGCACGATCGTGACGTGGTCGCTGCCGCCGGACGTGGTGACGCGGCAGCTGCTGCGGGCGGCCGAGGTGCCGCTGGCGGAGGACCTGCGCGAGGTGGAGGACCTGGAGTACGCGGCGGACGGGAACCGGGAGACGAGCGGGATGAAGGGCGACGTCGTGGTGTTGGGGACCAGGCGGGAAGAGCGGGACGGCGACCGGCTGGACACGACGCTGGCCAAGATCGCCTTCTCGTCCGGGCTGGCGCGGAGCACCAAGCTGGCGGTGCTGGAGAGCGCGCTGACGGCGTACTTTGAGAGCACGCGGAACATCCCGAACTTGTTGTCGCGGGGGTCCGGGGTGCCGCTGGGCCGCAAGTTCATTCTGCAGAAGACGGGGGAGTTGCTGAGCCTGCGGGCGCGGCTGAACCACTACTCGGAGCTGACCGACTCGTTGCCCGATATCTTCTGGGATAGCCGGTCGGAGCTGGGATTGGAAGGATACTACGAGCAAGTTGGGCGGGCGTTGGACGTGAACGTGCGGATCCGGACCTTGAACCAGAAGATGGACTACGCGCAGGAGATTGCGACGGTCTTGCGGGAGATGTCGAGCGAGCAGCACAGCACGCGGCTGGAGCTTATCATCATCGTGCTCATCGCGGTAGAGGTCATCTTTGAACTGCGCCGGATTGTACTGGAGCGGATGATGGAGAAGGAGGAGTTGAAGAAGTTGGCAGCAGGGAGCGTGTAAGGACTAAGGACGGACACCCGAGTTTTGTTGTGTACGAAGTAATTACTAGAACCCTTAAGGTCGCGCCTCTCTTGCGTGGCGGCAGCGATACGCCCTCTCCAGCAGTGGAGCATTTAAGATACCCATCTCTGTTCTATTCCCGCTTGGTAGTCGGATTTCCTAAGGTCCGACCCTGACACTGAAGTCTCTCTCTTTGTCCGTTGCCTTGGTTTTGCCTTCATTATAATAGTGTACAGAGCCCTGACGCTGTAGCCGGAGATGACACCGACCCAACCGTGTTTTTGACAGCACTCCAATCAATCATCACAACAAGTACTTGAGCCTTTGTGTTCCCCCTTTCTTCTTTCATACCTATTGGTCCTTGGTGGTATCAGCCAGGGGTGGTGCCGTGGGAATGTGGGCTCTGCTCTGCCAGCGAGAAGTCACCAGAGGACTGGGAGGCAGCGAATAAATATCCTGACTCAAGGGGGATGGAAGGTAGAATGGAAGGAGTATATAGGGGCGGAGCCACTGGTTCAAGGTGCCTGATCAGATGGATGATATCTTTGTTTTCCTCGTCAGGTTGCGTCGAGTCAATCAGGCCGGGAAATGATTTAGTGCACGGGGTATAGGAGCTGCAGAAAACTCTTCAAGCACCTGTCCGGGTCTCTTCATCTTTATTTGTCAACTTCAAGCTGTCAGTACGAATATTCGTGCCGAGGTACAAGCGGCACTGACAAACAAACTCGAGCTAGCACCTTGGACCCACTTGCCCCCGCATCCCCACACAACTACTCCAACAGTTCGCTGTACGTACCTCGTAGCCTTTCCACGTCCGTCTTTCCGGACCACAGGAAACGCGACGCGACCATGGAAAAGGCGAATGCGCCGACTTCGACTTCGAGGCAGTTGCGCTGGCACCACGATCAATCTCGTCGCTGCCAACTACACTCAACACTCAATTGACTGAAATTGCCCGGCCCTTCAACTTCAAAATATCTTACAGAGCTCGGCGAGCATTATAGACTTGCGCTTGGCGGGTTTGTTTTTTTGTGCCTCGCACATTTCCGAATTAGCGCATTTTTCGATCCAGAATTACCAATTCGCTTCTTTTGCACCCCCGTCCCATCTTCAATGCTTCATCTGCTTCATGGCCTATCTTTCTATTTTATTTTAATCATCCATTCAAGGGGGACTAGAGGCCTGTCAGGTCTGGGTCTCAAGAGGTATGTATTGGCCTTTTGCCCTTTACTTTCCTCAGTTCGCCCTTACACCCACCTCCGTTGCCGGTTCTAACTCACACCGACACTTTGCTAGGTAGGCAGAATGCTACCTCCTATGGACGGATTGGCCGACGACTCGGAAGCTCAATGGTCTGGAGACGGCAAAATTGAGTACGTCGAGAGCGATATTCATGATCCCGAATGGTTAGCTCCGTCCGAGCGGAGAAAATCCACGAGCCGCAGCACTGGCACCAGTCGTCGCAACGCCGGTTCGATCGTTCCGCCCACTCCTTCGGAAGAATCCGTGTTAGACGACACTGGCAAAGTCGTTGGGTCTCTCTTGCCCTCCTCTTCCGAGTCAGCACCCCTATCCACCTCCATAGCGGTCGAGATCCCCGTCAGCACCCTCATCGTACCCCGCTCTCGACATGAGGGCTTCGAGCCGCCAGCTCCCGAACTGTCCGAAGGGAAGGCCGTGGAAGCATTGCTCCAGTCCTGCGCGCCAAATGACGACGACGATAGCTTCGAGTTTGAGCTCGACATGTTCTCCATCTTCATCAACACGGACAAGTACTCATACGAGATGCGGCCTTTGCAACATCTCTCCACCAAGGACGTCCACAATGTCATGTACGCTGATGGCGTGTTGTCCCACAAGGATACCAAGTTTTACGTCCGCGGCATAGCTTTTGACGAGCTTCCCATTGGTAACTACGGCATGGACCACCACACCCTAGGCGACCAGATTTGGATTCGTTCCCGGGTGTGTACCGCTGAGGCCCGTGGTCGCGGTCCCGACATCTACTATAAGCTGAAATCCCCGACAACCGAATATCTCCGCTATCACTCGCCCTTCCTCTGGATCGCCGATCTTGCCAAGCATGTCGTGGACTTCCTAGAAGATTCGAGCAACAAGAACCGTCGCGTGGAGTTTCGAGATTTCAAGTCGGCTTTTCACAAGTGGCTCCTTCGCCACCACAAAGGACGTGCTGCCTTCCGTCGATGGTTTGGTCAGTATGGCCGGACTGATTTTCGAGTTGCCGTTCATGCTTATAACAACTTCATCTACAAGGAGGCGTTCGGTGTTTTGGGACACAAAAGAACCCATTTCCATACCCTGTGGAGGGAGATCAAAGATTACACTGCTTACACCCCGGCTCCCTCCACGGCAGCTCCCATGACGGTAGACAACAAAGACGACACAAAGGGCATCCCTCGCACAGTCGTCACTCCTTACGTTTATGACTCCTTCAGCCATTTACCCTGCGGCGTCATGATGGAATCTGTCACCCCAAGCGCTTCCACGGAACGTCTCCGCACGAACCTGATCCAGAAGCAACATCTCGAGCTGCCGTCGCATATCCACAACGAAGCCAAGCATATCAAAAGCGTGTCGGATGCTCGTGCCGAAGGTCTGAAGAGGGAAGTGCGTGTAGGAGACGTGGTCTCCTGCCCGCGAGACGCCGAAGACACGAATTGGCGAAGGCACACCGCCGTGGGCTTTGACGACGTTGATCGGTGGTTCGGCTTGGTCCAGAAGGTTCATGTCAGCAAGTCGGGCGCCCGCTCGCTCGACGTGATCTGGATGTATCGACCGGTTGATACCCTCTGCGGCCAGATGAGGTATCCGTGGAACAACGAGCTGTTCCTCTCCGACCATTGCTCTTGTGATGATGGCCACGACTATCAGAAGCTCGGCGAGAGTGAAGTCCTCGCTATCCACCGTATCGATTGGGGCGGCTCCTCTGCCACAAACGCCGAGTTTTTCTGCAGACAGACTTACATCTCTTCGGACCGCCGCTGGATCACTTTCAGGCAGGACCATCTTGTCTGTTCACACCGCAAGGAGCCTACCCCTAACCCCGACCACTACCGTGCAGGGGATACCGTGCTAGTACAGCTCACGGCAGGCGGCAATAGGCTGGAACCCTGTGAGCTACTCGAACCCCCGCGAGATTCTGCCTGCCTCGTTCGTGTCCGTCTACTCCTGCGAAGGAATGAAGTTGATCCAAAGGCAACCGCCTGTCGGCCCAACGAACTCGTCTACTCGGAGCGAATTCTTGAAGTACGACCTGACAGAATCCACGGACGATGTATCGTGCGGTACTTTCCCTCCGCCGACATGATCAAGACGCCTTATGATCGCGACGGCGTGGGTAACGCATTCTACATCCTCACTCGCTTAGTCGAGGAAGCGGACGGCGACGACTCCATGTCAACGTCTTGTGTTCCTTTCGACGACGCCTTTCCCTTTCCCCCGACTTTCCGACAGGGGCTGGATCCCGATGAGGCCTTCCCGAAACTGAAGGGCTTCGATTTATTCTGTGGCGGTGGGAATTTCGGACGAGGCCTGGAAGAATCCGGTGTCATTGAGATGAAATGGGCAAACGACATCAGTATCCGTGCTATCCACACCTACATGGCCAACGTCGACGCCCGGAATCAAGTGCATCCGTTTGCCGGCTCCATTGACGACCTGCAAAGACGAGCCTTGCAGGGAAAGTTCTCGGACAATGTGCCTCCCATCGGTGAAGTCGGGTTTGTTTCTGGCGGCAGTCCTTGTCCAGGATTCAGCCGCCTCACGCATGATAAAACGACGCCTGAGCAACGGAAAAACCAGTCTCTCGTGGCTTCGTTTGCCTCCTTCATTGATATCTACCGACCAAGATTTGGCCTCCTCGAGAACGTTGTCGAGATCATAGAGAGCGCAAAGGCTAGCCAGCAGGACGTCTTTCTTCAGCTCATATGTGCTATCGTGGGACTGGGCTACCAGACGCAATTCTTCATGCTCGACGCGTGGACCTTTGGCTCGTGTCAGAGCCGCAGTCGGGTCTTCTTAGCCTTCGCAGCGCCGGGCCACCGGCTACCCGAGATGCCCTTGCAATCTCACCAATCCGAAAACCCGAAGAACAAAAGCCTGGGCCGACTATCGAACAACGAGCCCATGTTCCAGAGGCTTATCATGCCGACGGCGTTTGGGCCTGTCAGCGCCGCTCAAGCGTTTGCCGACTTGCCGGACATCATGGACGGCAAGCCCGATGCCTGCATCAAGTTCCCCGACCATCGTCAGTCATACGGTGTAACCACCAAGGTGCGGACCCGGCTCTGCGCCCTACCGACCCGGCCTTGGGGTGTGAACCTACGAAGCGCATATAACAGCGGCAGCGTGACCAAAGCAGAAATGGACCGGTTCCCTTCTAGCAAAACTGTTGGCATTTCGAATGCCTACGGGCGCGTGTTTCCCAATAAGTTGGTAGGGACGGTGACAACAAGGCCGTCGCCGGCCGACCGCTTCACGGGGCGCATCTTGCATTGGCACCAGGCCCGGATCCTTTCTGTCATGGAGGTCCGGCGTGCCCAGGGCTTTCGCGACCACGAGGTCATTCTCGGCGAACCCAAAGACCAGTACTACACCGTCGGCAACAGCGTCTCGCGGGAGGTGTCCGTCGCCCTGGGTCTCTCGTTCCGCGAAGCCTGGCTGGGTTCTCTCGTTAAAGGCGACGAGAACACACCGAAGCTGGGCTACGGGGTGCAATACACCACCACGCAGGCGACGTCCACAATGCAAACATCATCCACCGTGCGGACATCCGTCATGCAGTCCTCCGTCATGCAGGTGTCCACCTCCACCACGAAGGTGGGGGCAGACGACGACGGGGGCGAAGAAGAGCCAGAGCCAGAGCCGGCACCCGAAGACGAACCCCTCCCCTACGACTGGCGTGGCCGCAGGGTCCCTAACGAGGACTATGTGCCCTCGGACGAAGACACGGAGGACGTCTTGTCCTGCAGCGCCAGCGATGTACACGACATGCCGACCCCACAGGACTCGACTTCTACCCCGAGCGTGGCGGAACCCTACGAGACGGCCTTCAGAATGACGTCCTCGACGGTGAGCTCGAAGAAGAGACAGCTCTCAAGCTCGATTATCGTCGAACTTTTTGCTGCCAAACTATCGAAATCGGACCGTGAGGCCGCTTCTCGACGACAGAAGCGGATGAGGTTGGACGGCCAACCTTGACCAGGGGCTTCCCCCCTGCTTTGCCACTAGACCTGCTACAGTATATATCGCCGGTTTCTTTTGTCTTTTTCCCATCCTGTACAGACCGGGCCCTGCCTACATACATTGCTACATAGATGACGCCTCCCTCCTCGTCAACGTCTCTGAACCAAGACGCCATGCGATGGTGCGCTAGGAGAAGGGACACCATGAGTGAGGGGGGGGGGGGCCAAGGATGTTGAGCCATCCAAGTCCACTGCGCTTGAATTGCTCATTTTGGGTATAGAGCATCCCTAGGCTGCCAGGCTTCATATAGAGAGAGCATGGGAGATGATGCCCTAATAGCTACCACTCACCCTTACACATAGAGGACTATACGGTCTCGTTCCTCCATTCTAGTCCCTATTCTATACGATAACCCCTATCCCTGTGCCCTATCTTCCACAGGCGCTGCTGCACACCTCCTGTCGGTGAGCCGTTTCTTCGCGGTGTAACTGGCTGCCAGTCCGACAGCAGATAGACGGAGAGTGCATTCGCCACAGATCATGTAATTATGGTAAACTTCTTACAACATGCGTGCTCTGTTGCTCCAGCCGCTGGCACAAGGGAGACCCATGCCCATGTCTCACATCTTTAGAGAACAATGCCACTATCAATTCGGGCAGGCAGTGAAACGAGGACACAGGCTCATACGGAAAACATACAAAACTCGCTTTTTGGCTGGCTTACACCTACTATCCCTCTTCGACTTGGACTCTCCGAACACCATCGCTATGCTCAACAAACTCAATAACTACCTTGAATGATGGCCAGATTACATACATCCTCGATTAGGCCCAATGGGGTCGTATAGTCCGCCACCCATTGCCTTGTAATGAAAGAGGAAAGCCTTGCAAGGCTTTTTGTTATTTATTTAAATAAAAAATTGGTGAAATTCCTCCCTTTTCTTTTACCCGTCTGCCTGTCCCGTCCCGGTGGCTACGCAGCAGCAACGGTCTGGGTGACGGTAACGGTCTCCCGCTCGATAATCCTTTCTCGCTCCGTCACAGTAAAAATGAGCATCTGGGTCACCGTGTGAGCGACATCCGCGCCGTTCCCGTCTTCGCCGGCGGCTGGTCCGGGCGTCTGCTCCGAACTCGGAGGCGAAGGCGACGCCGCTTCGATGACGGACGGGGATACAGGCTCCTCGTGCCCCACCCTCTCCTCGGCGGGAGGAGGGGGCGATTGCTCGACAATAGCGGAGGAAGACGGTGGCTCGGCGGGACTCGGGGCTTGCGGTTGCGGTTGGGCAGTCACAGTGACGGTGATAAGGAGAGTCGTTCCAGGCTCGGGGGCGGGCTCGGGTTCCGGGGTCACGGTGACAAAAACAGTAGAGGTCAGGGTCCCGCGCACGGTTGTCGTCGTTTCGTCGGTGATCTCGTCGGAGAGTGTCACGGTGGAAACAATCTCGGTGACGGTCGGCGTGACTGTTTCTGTGACAATGGGGTCGTCTTCGGGACTCTCCTCCGGTGGGCTGTCCTCGGGAGCTCCCGGTGCATTGTCCTCCGGGGGTCCCTCCGGTGGGTTATCGTCTGGAGTGCCCCCCGGCGGGTTATCTCCTGGGGGCCCTTCTGGTGGGTCGTCCCCTGGAACTTCCTCCGGTGGGGTATCGCCCGGAATCTCTTCGGGCGGTTCATCCCCCGAAACCTCCTCCGGTGGGTTATCCTCTGGACCGCCCTCTGGTGGATTATCCTCTGGGGGCCCTTCTGGTGGGTTATCACCTGGAACCTCCTCCTCTGGGGGAGGGGTCGGAGTAGGATCGGACAATCCCAGGATGCGCGACGCCACAGCCTCTTCAAAGCAATCAAGAACCACGCCGGCGGCGTGATTCATTGGCAAAGGGAAACAGCTGTGACCCGGCTGTTCACAGTGGCGAAGATTAAAGAACCCTTGTTCGTTGCAGCTCCCGATGGCTCCCTCGACGCAGCCAAACTGGCCAGGCCCGCAAGCGGACAGCTCGGTAAGGGTTTGGAAGCCGAAGTAGTATCGCCTTGCCTCTTCCAGGTTCTTCGCCGCTTGTTCCGGGCTGATGGTCCCGCTCGAATCTGGGGGCGGGGGGCCGTTGTTGGTGGGTATGGCAGGGTTAAGCACCCTGGTGGGGACGACCGGCGGGGAAGAGACGGCAGTAGGCTCGGCGTCGCTGCTGGTGGACGAAGGCGGCGCGTCCGGAGAACGCGACGGTACCTCAGGAGAGGATGATGGGAGGGGTTCCTGATCAGAAGGCAGAAGGGTGGGTTCGGATGTTGGAGATCCACTTGACACGGGGAGGACGGACTCAGAAGTCGGGTCGAAGTCCGGTGGCACTTCCGACGAGGCGGTTGGCTCAGGCCCAGGAGAAATTTCAGAAGTTTCCGAAGACGAAAAGGATGGCGACGAAGTTTCAATTCCGAGCGAAGGTCTAGGGAAGGGGAAGACGATAGAAGGCTGAAAGGATATGGTGTGTTCCGTCAAGGTCGGAATGGCGGAAGTGCTCCCTTCGGATGTAAGCAACGAGCTGCTTTCTGGGGGCGAAGAACTGATGATCTCTGTCGACGTCGGGACAGCGGACGAGCTAATGTCGGATGGGGGAAATGAGCTGGTTTCCTCCGGAGGCGGGACGCCCTCTGTCGGGATGGCGGAGAACACCGAAGAGGACGGGATGATGGGCTCGACATGACCAATGGAGGACGATGAGGCGAGAGGAGCAGTCGAAGAGTCTACAGACAGCACACTCGTCGACTCCTCCGGCCGAACGCCGGAAGACGGCTGGGGAAGAGAGATGGTGCTGAAAATGGGAGGTAGCCGAATATCCTCGTCAGCAGATGAAGGATGCGGTGCGGCGCTGACGGTCTCGACTAAGCTCGACTCGGCAGAGGGGAGGTTGGTCGGCTGGTCCGCCTCTCCGCCTACGTCTTCGGAAACCGGGGTTGTCTGTTCAGCAGGAGACTCTTGGTCGATAGAGCCGGAAGAGGGACGTCCCTGGGGTGATTCTGAGGTTGGTAATGGATCCGGGTCCACGGTGGAGAAGATGGGAGTCGGCGTCTCTTCATGTTCTTGCTGCGAGACGATCGGAGCGTCGGGTTGACTGGACAGGTGTGAGAGGGATAAGAGATAAGAGCTTGGGACATGCAAGACGGACGGAGCAACGTACCTTGAAGATGGGGTGTGACCAGCGGACGGGTCTTGATGGGTATCGATACTAGAATCGTGAAATAGGTCGGGAGACCGTGGTATCCTCCTCCAGCGACTTACGGGACCGGCCTGCGTTGTGGAGGATACCAGGAGGAGAAGTAAAGCGTGCGGAAGGGGGCGCATTCTGAGAAAAGAAGGTTGAGAGGTCGATCGTTGGCTATGGCAGGTTATGCCAGGCCGAATGGTAGATTATGAGGGCAGTGATGAATCAGGAGAAGTATGTAACCCCCCGGTATAAAGACAAAGAGAGGAATCTTTAAGAAGAGAAGGGACTCGAGGAAGAAAGAAAATACTATATGATTTGGAACAGGCACGAGGACAAGGAAATAAAGAGCACGAGAGAAAATGAAACAAAGAGAAAGACGGAGAGATAGGAAGAGAATAAGACAGAGAACGAAAGTGTGTGAAAGACAAAGAGAGAAGGGCGAGAGTGAAAAAAAGGAGTCAATCCTTAAGGGTATGACAAAGTCCAAAACATCTAAAAGTCAAACTAGAAGAAAGTCATCGAGAGAGGGCATCGCTGGGCTTTTGTACGACTTAATACGAGAGGTGGTCGCGTGGATGGCCGAGGACGGCCGGACCGCCTGCTGGGCGCGAGATCCAGAGTCAGGACGCGATGGGCCGGCTACATAGGTCTACTCCGAGACGCGGCTGGGGCTATGCCGGGACAAGGGGAGAGGGAAGAAGAAAAAGGAAAAGAAAAAAAGAAAAAAAAAGGAGAAAGACTCCTGCTTTCTCGTCTGTCGAGCATGGCATCTCATCTGTATGGGTCTGCAGGGTCGATGCGACCAGTCTTGGTGGCCCATGAGCTACCCGAGGAGGGAGCTAGGAGCTCTGCGAGAGTTTTCATCCAATGCCGTGGACGTACAAATAAACGTCGGTGCTTCGTAGATGGGTTCCTTGAGAAGCCTGCGACGGTTAGCCTTATGGGAAAAGCCTAGACCGTGTTATGAGCACACGAGACAACGGCATTGTATGGATATTGGTCGGCGAGTGGTAGGTGAGTGGTAGGTGAGTGCTATTAAGCGCTGGTGTTCATGAGTAAAGTCTCGAATTTGTTTCTAATATGGTCAAAGATAGACGCGCGGTAGGATATTACTGGTAGCCGGCGCCAGGGCGGGTCAGTTTTCCGGAACCGTGAGCCAATCATCAGTAGTGGGGACGGATAACCTGCGACCAGTCAGATGGACCAGTCTCACAGTCACAAGTCCGTGGTGACATAAGCAGAACACTCGTTCTGTAGGTGTACAGTGCAACGCTACTCCCCTCCTTCTTATCCAATTATTTCTTCCCTTCCCTCCTCTGTTCGATTCCTCACCCATTCCTATTTACCACCCTCCCTCTTTCTCCCACTCCCATTCTTTCATCTTTCTCAAACAATCCCTTCGTCTCAGGCCATGTCCGAAACGACACGAGATCATGGGATGTGATTGATCGTAAAGACCGTATATTGTAGATGCCTAGACGTTTAGAGGCCCACGGCACTGCGGTGGACTGGACTTCCTCCGATATGACTTGGGATTGTCGACGTCGACCCCAAATGCAATGGAATGCTCGAGCCGAATCGGCAAACTACCTTGGGAATCTGTTCCATGACCGAAAGTTCGGGTCTTCGGATCTCGGATCAACGACAAACTGGATGGCCTTGGCTTGGGCCTGCCTGTTCAGTCACGAGCATCCATCTTGCTTCTTAGTCCGCCCAATCTCGGTTTGTCGAGGGCTCGTATCCTTTGTCCTGCGGATTTTATCGAACAATTCCCCAGTCGGTTGAGCTCTTGGTGGATAGAAAGAAATCTTCGGGAAAGACAAACAAACCACTAATAGCCTACGGACACCCACGTGCATCGGGTTGTGCCGCAATTCTCCTTCGACTTCTTTGCAATTCGGTTCAACCAGGTTCTTCACCCAAGCAAGGCGCAACACAACTTCTCTTGCCGATGCCATCGTCACCTTCCTCTTCGGATCCAATTCCCCAGCTATGAAGCTTCGGAGAGGAGACACGCCAATGAGCTCCCCTTTGGTCGCATCCCTCGCAGAGCACGTTGCGTAGGGAACTCTGCCCATTGGGGGGACCGGCCCCGGCACTTCTCCCCACGCCGGACCTGCCAAGACCACGTGCCCCCCGTTCACTCCATCCGTCTCTTCTAGAGTCCCACCAACCCTAGCCAGCGCATCCCGGGCTCACTACAACGTACAAGCACGCATCATCACTCCGACCAAGAGACACGTGCGCGCATCATCCACTGCCGTCCAAAGAACTCGACCCCGACCTGTGAAAGCGTCTGTGATGGGTTCAAGATTTCGTCTATTGGAAATGGCGGACGGGGAATTAAGACGACAAGAGGAGACCAAGGTGGCAGGGGGTAATCCACAGGATCGAGCCATGCCATGGAGAGGAGGATGGGGCATGAGGGGACTAGACGGCATGCAGTGCAACCAAGTTGCTGGGTTGTATGCATGGTCTGAGGACCCCGACGATGGTTGCCATTCTCTCTCATTAAACCTTTACCCCTCCCAGCTATTCGATAGCCGGACGAGGACGAAATGGTATTTATATCTGCTGTGCGCCGCCTGAAGGGTGGGTGTACCTTGATGGTTCTCTCTCTCCGGCCTGCACCCTCACCCTGCCGTGTCTCTCATCCCCTCAGGTCTCAAGGTCGATTGGTCGATCCGTTCCCACGATGCGTAGTGCCGCTGCTCTCATCGGGGCTCTCGCCCCTGCTGTTCTCGCCGGTACCCAGGCTAAGAACGTCATCTACATCGTCCCTGATGGCTATGGCCAAGCCTCCCAGACCATGGCCCGGGACTATGTCTCTCTACTGGAGACTAGCACCACCCCCCGCAACCCCAACATCTTCGAGCTTGCCGCTGATGACATGGTAAGCAGCTAGCACCTGCGCAGATCCTATCCGATGTGCCGACTTCTGCTCGGTCTTTTTTTTTTCTTCCATGCGCTGCGCTGACACACAAACTTCTTCTCTAGACCAGGGGTCTCGTCCGTACCCATGCCAGTGACAACCTAATCACCGACTCGGCCTCGTCCGGCACCGCCTTCGCCTGCGGCTACAAGACCTACAACAACGCCGTCAGCGTTCTCGAGGACGGCAAGACCCCCGTCGCCTCCATTCTCGAGGCCGCCAAGCTTGCTGGCATGAAGACTGGCCTCGTCGTCACCAGCACCATCTTCCACGCCACGCCCGCTGTCTACGCCGCTCACGCCGCCCACCGCAACAGCTACGCCGACATTGCCGCCCAGGAGATTGGCTACACCCACCCTCTCGGCCCCGTGGTCGACGTCCTCCTCGGCGGCGGTCGCTGCCTCTTCAAGCCCCGCTCTGCCGCGGGCTCTTGCCGTAGCGACAACGTCGACCTGTTTGGTTTCGCCGAGGAGAACGGCTACCACGTCATGCAGGACCGCGACGCCTTTGACGGGCTTCAGAAGGGTCTGGGCGACATTCGCATTCCCTTTATTGGTCTTTTCAATGACGGTGCGTGAACCTGGGGGGCTTTTTT